TGTTTTGTGCACAAATGCATATTATGTCAAATTAGTTTAGCCTGTTTTCATTAGGGGTTGTAATTAATTCCAGTGTAACTCGTCGACCTAATGGTGCGGTTGACGGAGTTCATAAATGGTGCGGGTGTCAGTTCATAAAAAATGTAGAAGTGTTGTGCAAAGCCTTTTTGTGAGTCTATTAATTTATTACTAAATTTAAGCCTTAAACCCCAAAACCCACCAGTTGCTTTGAAAGCCAGAAAAATAATCAAATCCAAAATTAACATCATGAAATTTATTTAAAATCACTTCATTCTAGATGTCTCAGCTGAAAAAAAATGCCAAAAATTAATTGTTTGTGCCAGATTTGTGTAAAAACACACAAAACAAAGAAATTATACGCTTCTAGGCCCAGCTGAAAAGTCACAAGGGAGCATTCGGCTGAACTGCAGGCAGAGATTACGCAGATCAGAGAGGAGACGAATTAAAGAGATTGAAAGCAAAATAAAACTTACTGGGCAATGAAATAAATGCAGCATAGCTCAGAACCAGAGAACAGAGGAACCAGTTGTTGGAGATACATCCAGCATAGTGGAACATCTTTCTACATGATGGTGGAACATCTTTCTACAGCTGATGGTGGAACATCTTTCTACATCTGATGGTGGAACATCTTTCTGGAGTTGATGTGCAGATGGAAAAACATGTCGTTTCTGAAAGTTCTAAAAATGTAGGTAGTCAAATGTCTACAGTATGTAGAGTCACTATTTTTCCCAGTTTTGGGAGCATTTAGTTTATTTTTTCTCTAACTCTAACCACAGTTACAAGAATGTCACAGTTATACGACAGTAATGTTGTATACTAAATTAAAAAGGAGACATCCTCATATACACTGAGAAAATGTAGTATTTTAAGTAGTTTTTCTGTTATTTTTGCCACTTTTGGGAAGTACTGTTTACAAATGGTCACTCGTTGCTTTCGTACTGTTTTCAAAAAGCGAAAGTGCAGAAATCACCCAGAAAAAAAGCCAAAGTGATCTCAGTATGAACGACTGTGCTGGTCCGATGTCATCGCCGACGACAACTCGGTCGCTTTGTCAACATCAAGATCATCAGTGAAATGATATGATAAGGTTGAGCCACGCAGAGACAGACGAGAGGCCGGCAGATGGGCAGATAGGAATCGCTGCCAGGTCGAGAGCCGAGTCGACATGCATCCACACGACCACACGATGACTGACGCGACCACATAGACGCGAAATGTGCTTTCCTCAGGTTGTCGGTGCCACTCGAGCGAGGGGCTGTGGAGGCAGGAAAAAACAAAAAGGGGGGGTTTTTGAAATTGAAAGCGAGCGGCGGCGCTTCAGTAAAAGCCGGCTCTATTCTCTATTCCTTCCCCGTCATCTTCTCTGTTTGCCCCGGAGCGCCTCTTCTCAGCATCAGCCTCCGTGTCAGGGCTCATCTCACAATCTCCTGCTCTTTTTTATCCTCCTTCCTCCCGGAGCTCGGCTCTCGCAGCCGCCTTTCAAAGGTCACGCGGAGAATACAGTCTTATTTTGTTTCTATCTGCTAGACAAACGTCTACATGTAGAAGGAGGGTCGGCAACGTAAAGACGGCAGCAGATGTTGGTACGATGGTGAACCGGCTCGCTGCATGTTTTTATCAAACAGTAACATGCTGTTGTGTACACGCGTGTGTGTGTCATCATGTGAACAAAACATCCTTCAAAGTAGTTTGTTTTTTCTAGGAACTTGCAAAGCATTTTCTTAACTCTTCACCATGATGGACCCTTTAGAGGCAAAATATGAAGGCCTTGATGTTAAACTAGACTAAATTAGAGAACTAGAGAATGTTCTATGACTTTCTTCAGAGTCAGAAGTTTCCATCCATCTCCTCAGTATCTGCTAGCGTTGCCTTTAAACTCTATGACTTGGGTCAAACGTTCTGGGTTTCCTTCCACAAGCTTCTCACAACAGTCTGATGAGTTCTGGTCCATTCCTCCTGACAGAACTGGTGGAACTGAGTCAGGTTTGTTGGTCTCCTTGCTCCACTGATGTTCTCCAGGATGGAGATCAGGGCTTTGTGATGTCCACTCCACAACACTGACTCTGTTGTCCTGAAGCCTCTCTGTAGCTAATCTGGCGCTATGCTGAGGGTCATTGTCCATCTGAAGACCCATTAGTGTCCAAGCTGTAACTTCCTGCTGATGTCTGGAGATGTTGCTCCAATACCTCCACATCATGTTCTTTCCTCATGATGCCATCTATTGTGTGAAGGTCACCAGTCCCTCCACAGCATGATGCTGCCACCCCCGTGCTCCACAGCTGGGATGGTGTTCTCAGGATGTTTCCATGTTGTTGCCTCCAGTTAGCTCACATGTTGGCTGCATGGATGCATAGAAATCAGAGTCTTAAAAAGCTTGTGAAAAGAGCCGTGGATGAGAGGCCTGAATGTAGATGAAGATGTTAATATCAGTATTCGTTACAGATATGTGCAACGTGTAGAGACAGTGTTTAAAGAGGAGCAAATGTTGGTGTGATAGAAGTGTTTTTCCAGTTTGTCATTTCGTCGATCTTGCTTTTTCTTTTAATGTGCTAAGCATTTTCCCAACTCTTCACCCTGATTTACCCTTTAGAGGCGAGATATTAAGGCCTTGACCACATTAATATGGATGCTTTCACCCTCTGTCCACACAAACAAAAACTCAAAGTGACTGAAAAAAGAAAAAAAGAGAGTTTGTCCATTCTGCAGACTTTAGAAGTGCAGATGCAGAAGCTTTTGCACGCTGGTGAAGCCTCTTAGATGCCAAGTTAGGTTGTAAACTTACTATATATCCTCGTATATAACTGCCATTGTTGTTATTTCATGTCTACAAGCCAATAGGACGCATATAAATCTAAGTGTTAGGAAGCTTTTTTGGACAACTCTGTGGATGAGAGGCCCAAATGTGGATGAAATATGAATTACAACAGATAGTGTTTGAAGAGGAGCAAATGTCAGTGTGATAGAAAACCAGTTGGAATTGTGTTTTTCCAGCTGTAACATGTTGAAAAAAAACCCTGTCATTTAGTCGATTGTGCAGATTTGAAAAGCTTTTGCATCAATGCAAAGTTAAATTACCGTAACGGAAAGAAACCGGTTTATAGACATATATATATATATATATCCTCCATTGTTGTCTTATGTTTACAAGCCGACATGGATTCCTATAAATCAGAGTTTTAGGAAGTTTTTAAAAAAGAATCAGTGGATGAGAGGCCTGAATGCAGATTATCTGTGACCAACGTAGAACGTGTCCACCAAACAATTAACTGCTGAGCGACTAATTAATGCTGCTGCTCTGGTGTGGAGACTGATTTAAGATGGAAAAGAAATCAATGAGCTCAACGAAACATTTGTTTTTTTTAATATCCGATGAGCTCACCTGCAGCGCGTTGGGATTGTGTCTGAGTGTTTAATCTGGGACCACATGCTGTCATTTTTTATTCATGGTGATGATTTGAACACTGCATTTATTTGCACGTTTCTGTAACAACTCGACTAATTCAAGCAACAACAGCTGCAACCGAAACCGCATTAGCATCTGAAGTTAGTCGGTCTTGTGCATTTAAACACGTTTGTGGTGCCGTCTAGCAAAGGCAGCGGCATTTTTATCCTTTAGTTGAACAGTTATCTACAGCCTTTGTATATTTGCGCACCAAAACCACCATAAATCCAGTTAATCTGTTATTTCCTGAACCTAGTTACTAAATCTCACTGCTATGCTATTTTTTTAAAAAGTCACCATCTCCTGGATTTGCCGATATCCTCTTTTCACCACGTCTATTCATTTTTTAGTGCGTCCTGAAACCAGGAATACTGTAAAGCAGCAACAAAGCCATGTAGATATGGCACCACGTTAATAACTCGCTCTGAACGTACATTGTGCCGTAGTGAACCCATAAAATATTATAAAACCTCACAAATGGAAGTTCAGCAAAAGAGAAAAAACATTTGTGCCACCTGAAGTCCCAATGACGCCTCAGACAACATAGAAAATCTGGAAACGTGCAGTTATTTTCATTCATCTTGATAATTTGATCACTTCTGTTCTTCACTGAATTTATTTGCAGGTTTCTGTAACAACTCGACTAATTCCTGCAACAACAGCTGCAACCGAAACCACACATTTAAACAAAATGTGAATAATTCGTCCACTGACTGGCGTTTCTGGTGCCGTCCAGCAAAGGCAGCAACATTTTTATCATTTAGTTGAACAATTATCGACATTCTTTGTATATTTCTGCACCAAAACCACCATAAATCCAGATGATTTGTCATTTAAACACAAACTATACTTGGTTTACTGGTAGTGCACCACTCTGAAACACACACTGGGTGTTTTTAATGTAATTTTCCATCTTTTTCCGGCATTGATGCTTCAAAAAAAAAGCTCGAAAACGTTGGATCACATGCAGTTGTTTTCATTCATCTGGATGATTTAAACACTTCTGTTCTTCACTGAATTTATTTGCGGGTTTCTGTAACAACTCGACTAATTCCTGCAACAACAGCTGCAACCGAAACCACGTGTTTAAACAAAATGTGAATAATTCGTAGACTGACTGGCGTTTCCGTTTTGTCGTTGAATAGCTATCTATATTCCTCGTATGTTTGTTCACCAAATCCACCATTAATGCAGAGAATTTCTTATTTCTTTCACTTGGTTTTCTGGCCAAACCACTCTAGAATAAACACTGTGGCTCTTTTTAATGTAATTTTCCATCTTTTTCCGGCATTGATGCTTTAAAAAAAAGCTAGAAAATGTTGGATCACATTACTTTTATTCACTTCTGTTCTGCGCTGAATCCATTTGCGGGTTTCTGTAACAGCTCGACTAATTCCTGCAACAACAGCTGCAACCGAAACCACATCAGCAGCCGAATCCAGACCCGATCGTGGTTTTGCGGCGCTGTGAGCTGCAGCGTCTGCGGCTCCTGGTTGCGCCTCCCCTCCTCTGACGTGCCGTTTTGTTTCTGCAGATGATGAAGCATGCGTGGGACAGCTACCGGCAGTACGGCTGGGGTCACAACGAGCTGAAGCCCCTCGCCAAGAAGGGACACTCCACCAACATCTTCGGTAAGCCAGACAGAAAGCCCGCCGGCACTCCGCTCGCACATGGACGCACACACACTCCGTCCCGCTCACACTCACACTCTTAAACACACTCACTTCTTAACGTTTCTTCCTACTGGTGGACAAGGTTTGTGTGATGACGCCTCCGGCTGGACGCGTATCACTTTGGAGGGAGTGTTTGTGGACAGAAGCAGAGAACAGACGTCACTGGAAAACCAGAGATGAAATCAGAAGAACCGCTGATATCAGTGTTTAAATCTCAGCAAAAAAAGCCAAAAAGTTTTTAATGAAAATGTCTCTAATTTAATGCAAACAGCCCCATTTCTAGCTGGATGTGTTCAAGTTATCACTCAGTAGAACGTGAGCTTGTTCGTTCAGTGGAGTTTCTCATTATTTGTAGATTTTTGCAGCTTCTGTCTTTTCAGGAGACGTTTGAACGACTCCGACCAGGAACCAGTGACTTGACGTTGTGCTTAACTCCAGGATTTTTCACAATAAAACACTCATTTTACACATAAAAGTGTTTAATAGCAGCTTAAACTTTTAATATCTGAACTTTTCGGACACAAAAAGAGCTTTTAATTTGATGTAACTTACTTGTTAGTGAGCAGTTGCTTATTACAGAGGAACTGTTGTATTTATTTAAAGTTGCATCTCTTTTATTTTGACATTTGAGCGATTTTTCTGGCTCTACAGTTGGGTTTAGCTGCTAGTTTGCAGTTGCTTTTCAGAGCTTCTCTACTTAAAACAATCCCAGAAACGTGACAGTGAACCAAAATGGTGAAGCTGTGACATGAAGCGCACCATAAATTTCACAAAAACAGATAATTATCAGTTTGTTTGTGACTTTACAGGATTTTTATCACTGTTCTCACATTGTAATTTGATGAATAAACATCATAAAAATATAAATTGCAGCTGCTTTAAACAAAAATAATGACAATTTTAACCATCAGTTGCCTAATTTCTGTCAAATCGCTGCATCGTTGTGACATTTATTGTGGTTCACAGCAATGTGAGACTTTACCTCCGCAAAAAGGAATATTTACCCGACTCTGAATTCTGATCTGGCTGAAGCGCTACTGTGAACATGACATTAACGTATTTTAGGTGTAATCCTGAGAGAAAACTTCCTCGTCGATGAATCTGAAATTTAAATTTGTACCAGTCGACAAGCCTCAGAGTGAGAAATAGTTTAACAGTCATGTTTGAGAGCCATTTTGAAACGTTTATCACTTTGTTTTTTTAAATGCTGCTGAAGTTTGTGGCACTTTATCCTTCAAAATATGACAATAACTCACTAAGTAAGCGATTACAATCCCTCTCAGGTTCCCTCTGCTGCCAGTTTCCTCAATCTTATTTCGATTTTCCAGATCAATGTGCTGCTTTTATAAGATGTGATCCGTCTCTGTGGTTTCCCAGCTAGCGGCGGCTAGCGTCGTAGCTAGCATCTTTAGCGAAACAGTTAATCAGTCTTTAACAAAACTCGAGTGATGTGTCGACTGACTGACGTTTCTGCTGCTGTCTGGCAAAGGTGGCAACGGTTTTATCGTTTAGTTCAATAATTATCTGCATCCGTTACATATTTGTGCACCAAAACCACCGTTAGTCCAGATTATCTTACTTCCTGGACCTACGTA